ATATCTTGAATAAAGTTTATGCAAAATTTCAAACAAATTCAACTGTTAGTTACCAAGCTGTCAGTTTATTAGTAATTTTCATTACTTTTGCACAGCACTGTACCTAATATAGATTTTGGTGTTTGTATCATGTGATTCAATTCCCAAAAATATAAAAAGGCTTTTACTTTTCAAAAACAACCAGTTCTTGCTACCTACTGTATATTGAATAAGCATGGATGCCAAGGAACATTATACAAAACGTAATAAAGGGGGCGATATTCCTGGCCATGTTAAGCGCTTTGAGCAGGAAAACAAATACAAAAACATTCCCTACTCCAAATTTGGTTCCTGGTGCTTGGCATCTCCTCTATGATAAGCCTTCTCATACTTTCACTATAAAAAGGTCAGATGGAGAAGATCAACATATTGAGTTGTCGAAATGCAAGTTTGGGTTTACAATCGGAGATGGGGATGAATTAGAGAAACTTCTTCAAGAGGCACAGGTGAAAATGGCAATGGCAGACATTAAGGTGGCAGAGGGAAGATTGGAAGAAGAGGAATTGAAAAGTGTGGATCGTGAACAAAGGCACAAGAGCTTGGAAAGAAAGTGTAAGCATGAAGAGGTAGAAGATTTGAATTGGAAGATAATGTTTTGGAATGAGCAAAGACACATGGATAAAGTCAACAAATTTAGACAGGATCTTTATGCACTGATAGGTGATTGATTTGACTATGTAGTCAAAGTTGTAACAAGATTTAGTGCAGAATTGAATAAAGCTTAACGTTGTAACAAGACTATTTTGTTCTTAGATCTTTAGCTTGCATAGAAGCCAGCATCAGCTGTTAGAGGTGATATAATAACGCCGTAGGGTGATGCTAGTATAAAGAATTCATATTTCCGATGTTGCAAGAGTCCTCAATCGATAAGCGGACGAAAACTTATCGAATCCTATAGTTGTGTAAGACGCGTTAATTTGTTCAGTGGGAGATGTTTTGAGTTCGTAAAAAAATCGTATAATTTCTTGTTTGTTCTTGATAAAGCCTTTGGAGACACTGCTCCAAGATAAAACTTGGGGTAATAACCTTTCTTGAGTCAGAGCTCGACTTTATTAAGAGCTTTTTATACATTTTCCTAAATCTGGTAACATTCCCCGGTCGGAAGAACACCCCTACGCGAAAGATTAATCGCTCTCCCAAACCCCGACTGTAACAATATACGACAGTTAGTATTATCTCACTGGTCAGCGAAAGGCTTTTAACATCAAATAACCAGGCGGATCATCTATGGCTTTAAACATAGACAACCGAGCAGGTCACTTATGCCCCAGTGGGTTCAGGCGAACAGTGACCCAGCAATAATTTTGTGGTCCGGCAAACACCCTTAAATGACAATAACCGAGCGGGTCCCTGCCACGCCACTAATTTTCCGCTATATTTCTGATAAGAGAAATTATACACATCTCTTTAACGAGAAACTCTGCTTTATCTTTCGTCTTCCTTGTTCAAAAGCCACAATTGTATCTAGACTTTTAAGATATTTATCTATTGTTTCTTGAAAGCCCTTTCGTCACACTCTAACTCCTCCAAGCAATCAGTAATGGGGCCGTTATAAAAAATTTTGACACGAAAAGATTTTAGGTAAGGTTTTTGATCCGCGTTATATTAGGACATTTAATCACGTGGTCGTATTACCATTGGTCACGTAACAAACTCAATTTTTCGTTCTGAAACCAGCCAATCAGAGAGTGTCGCGTTTGCATTCCTTAAAAATAGCATTTATTTCCAAGCGAAAAACACTCCTGTGTTCATACAACTTACCCTTTTCTTTCTTTCTTTTATTATTAATAAAATGACTAGCAAAGAAGACTTGCTGTATGCCCGCTTTCTTGGTAGTGTTGCAAGAAGCAGCGCTTTACTAACGTTTTTGAATGCTCACATACTAGACATTGTGGCTATAACATGTGGGTTTCGGAGATGGCACGAATGGTCACAAAATTCTTCCAACATCTTCAATAGTAATATTATCAAATCACCCCCTAGCTCATTACTATTACTGCCATTCCTTCAGCAAATCTTTTTTTTTATATTCAAAAGCTTCTCTAGCACAACTCAAATTTTTGACTTGAGTTTTTTTGTTATGTTATTGATTTCTTCTAATAGATTTTTATTTCTCTGTTCAAGTTTATTTATCATGTTTTTTTTTATCATTATTTATTTTCTTTATATATTAATATACGCAGTAAAGTGTTCACTTTATAACGAAGGTTTTTTTGGAACCGTTTCATTCATATATTATAGAAATACACTTTAACGATGAAACGGAGCGCTTCGTTTATTGTGTACATATTTATTATTATATGTATCTTTTTTTATAAATGCATATTAGGTTTGTTTATATATATATTTAAATTTTTAATTTAAAAAGCAGCAACGAACGGACCAGAATTATAAAGTGACAAGACCACCAGCATAAGCAAACAGAATTTACTTGCAACATTGCGAAGACAATTATACGACGAAGAACCGAATTGGTTCCAACATTTCCATTTAACAAAATTTTGACGTTACTTGACGAACGGAAAGCTGTTGCAGCTTTCACAATATATTTTACTTACAAAGAATAAATCCATGAAAACGATCCATTATGACGATTCAACTTTGGATTAAGAATAACGTAAACCATGAAGATGGAAAAAAAGGAGTAAAAAAGATAAATTTGCACCAGAGTGAACAAAGAATAGGTTATACTCATAAATGGCTTTGGACCGAGTATTTCCTCCCATGCTCTATTGTTGTTTATATTTCAAGAGTGATCGCATTTTATAAAGATATTGAAATTGTGCTTACAAAATTGAGTTTTTTTGCTCTTTGGTTGTCAAAGCTCATCAAGCGATATTTCGTTGATAAGCCACTCGATCAATGGGGGCCTTAGTGGGAAGCATTTACGTAAAACTGTTTTCATTTATGCATCTAGTTTTTTTTGAGTTGGTGTTAACGCTCGTTTATTATTATTGGCCGATCTTCTTGGTAAATTCCGTAATAGTAATAGTAAGACTTTTTCTTTATCTAGATAGATTTATTATTATGGAGAATTTGATATCATTTATTTTAAAAACATGGGGTGCAATGTTATCTTTTGAATTAGTTTCATATTTATATACATATTAATATCTGATATAGAGATAGGCTTATACGAATACATTATCATTATTTGAGTAAAAAGTTTATCTCAAATTTAGTCCATGGATTATCAGCTACATCAGTTAATTTGCAGTCTGCCTCACCATTAACAGAATACATGTGTTTCCATCATATTAATAATCAAACATACAACCAGCAAACGGCATGATAGCATCTGGGGCTGTTTGGTTATTTTTAGGTTCAATGACAGGATAACATACCGACTTTTTTTTTACAAGTCCATTTTAATAAATGTACTTAAGAATTCTCCTTTAGAATGCTGTTAGGGATACTAATACGCGATTTGCCAGAGTAAAAAGTCAAGACGTAATAAATAGTAAAACAAGTAGTAGCAGTGTTGTCATAGTAACACATCAAGACTTGCTGTTTCGTCAAGGCTTCAATCAAGGCTTCAATCAAGGCTTGCTCAATATCAAAAGCTTTTCACTATACAGAATGAGGGTGAGCATAAACCCCCCGAATTCCCCTGTGGCGCCGCGTTTCACATCGGTTTCACCATATTAAAATGATAGGCCTTGATGCGATTTGCAGTGGGTTCACAAGTTTATTAACATTATCAAATTGGTTTTCATTTAAATAACATTTCTGTTCCTATTCCAAGACCCCCTGGAATCGTACAATGCCGACAGCTGATGTTCGAAATAAGTGCAAGGTGAACGATTGTTTGCATTGGCCCGTGGTTATATAGAGCTCATGTTGGACTGCACATGAACGGGAGGGACAAGTCGACGTTGCACGCACCATTGTAAAGTTGTAGTTGGTTCTTCTATCATTTTTATTATTGGGATCACCGAAGATGCTTTTGCAGTCTTTTGAATGTGTGCAAATCATTGACAATTATTGTTTCAATGAACGTTGAATGCAATTACTGTTTGTAAACATTGTTGATAAAGATTAAGTGTATGTGTATCAGGACTTTCTTTTTTTGTAACTGTTTTCACCAAATGTACGAACTCCTTATTCATCGTCAGCTGCTGTTGATGGCAATTGCAATAGTCGTTCCCACCACCCATGGCCGTATGTATATCTCATTTTCTCAGGCGTCTTGGGCGTAATATCATGTGAGACAGATCAAAGTTTATTTAGTCTAGGTTGTGCCGCTATTAGCAGCACGAATAGTATGACGAATGATAATTGAATCCCAAACTAAATAAACTACTGACTGCCACTGGTGTGATTGCGTTGATAGGGTGGCACTTAATATGAGGGGGCAATTGACAATATATCACAACGCTTTGCATCACAAACAACTCCGCCCTCTTAGTTTCCTATTTAATGTGTGGCCAGAGAATTTATTCCATCATCGGCCGCGAAAAACAATACCCAAGTGTCGAGGAGGCACAATTTTCGCCGCTTCACAATATCTAATTCATAATCATACTCCAAAGAACAAAATAAAATAGACTCATATTATTACTAGGCTTCGGCTAAAATAGACAACAAATTAAAATACCATAAACGAGCGGGTTGACTGGTCACCCAGTAGAAGACAAACTAGACTCAATACACTGCGTAAATGCCGCTTACCGTACTATATTTATAATACTATAATGACCGACGATTATTCTTCTTCAACACCTACAACTCCTCGCTTGAAACACCTGACGCGTTCCTTTCATGGCTATGAAAAGGAACGTCGTCCGTCGAATGGTTCTTCATTAGAAGAGGAAGAGCGGGAGTCGTTCGAGAGTAGACGTATGGATAGCGCTAATAGACGGAATACGAACTCTACATATGGATTGTCATACATTAGACGGAGTAGATTTGATGTGAAGGAAGGTGAAAGCTACGGTGCGCGTAGATTGAAGAATGGCAAATGGGAGACAGACGATGAATCATGCTCAAAATCAATACAGGTAAGTATCCCAACGCTTTCCCGGTTGCTTTTGATATGCGCAAAGTTTGGTATTCATGTGGGTTCTACGAGTTCAAAAGATTGAACTTGTTGTCTCAATTTGGAAACCTCTAAAATTAAAAGAATTACATTTATTCTTATAACCCATATTGGTTCATCCCACTGGATACCTGGACTGACGCATAAAACATACATGTTGTATTCGACTAGAATGCGATAGACTCGTTACAACATGTTGGCATATCAGTCAATGCTACCAATTTCTTTGCAAAATTGTAGAAAACCTAATTGTTATATCGTTCGCCCTTGCTTTGCCATCATAATAGAGACGGTCACTGCCTGCCCATTCGCAACCCAATTCACAACACCATACACAACATTCCAATCCACAACGCCAATCACAAGGCGCATATATGGAAGAAGCAAATACAAAATCGCTTCTTTATCTTCTCGATAAAGAACGTGCAAAACGTGCAGACATACAAAAGGCTTACGAGTCAACATCGCAATCACTATGTGACTTGCAAAAAACGCATCAAGATGATGTCACAACACTTGAGAGCGACATACAAGTACTTCAAAATGCATTAGTTAAAGAGGCAAAAGTTAGTTCGCAATTAAAGCAACTATTACGAGATGCTCATGCTAAATTCACCGAGGAGATGCAAGTATGGGCTAATAAAGTAGCAGAGATGGAGGAACAAGGGAGGGAACTACAAAAGACTTTTACAGAGACAATGAACAGATTGGAACAAGAAGAAGATGAGATAATTAGACTACGTCAGGAGAACCAATCGTTGAAAGATCAGCTAGCTGGTCGACCGATAGAGCCAAATAATTTCATAAGGCCTAGCCTAGAGGATGTTTATAAAGTAGGTTCATTAGAGGAAGGAGATGACGCATCAACGACAACAGAAACAAAGACAGCTGTTGATATGGGAGAAAACTCTGATGTCGAGTCAATGGCCTCCTATTCAAAAATAGCCGAGCTTACCGATTGTATCTCCAAACTCGAATCCGAGCTCTCGTCTACCAAAGAGAAGTTACACAAATCGGAATCCATCATCAATGATCTACAAACCGATAAACAGGCAACTGTCAAACAAATCGATGAAAAACATGAAAAACAAGTTAAACTTCTTCGGGCTAGTCTTGCTCAGAAGCAAAAAATGATTGAAGATCTTCAGCAAGAGCTTCGAATGACCAAATTCTCACAAAACAGAGAGCGAGAACGTGAAGAGAAGTTACAGAAAGAAATGGCGGAACGAAACAAACTCTTACAATCGAAGCCGGAACGTACGCTTATTCCGTCTCTAAAAGACGATCGTCGACATATACGATCCGTTCAACCACAACATAAACGCCGAGTCTCTATTTCCGAGAACTTTTTAACTCATGATCGTAAAGGTAGTGTTACAAGTACCAATAGTGGGAGTCTGGAGAATGGGAGCAGTAACGGTGATAAAGACGATATACAGAGCAGCATCCTCGAATTCAACGAAGACCAGTCCGAGTTATTCAGCGATGAAGAGGAAGAACGTGATGACCAGTCGTCCTCATTATATACGGGTAGTGCAGCTAGTAATCGTGGAAGCGAGAAAACTGCAAGCACTGCAGCCCCCACCGTAGACGAAGACTTTCCAAGGATTACGTTATCCTCTCGGCAATACCAACATCGCAACAACATGAACGAACATGACGGCGGTAATTGCAACGAGGAAAACGAAGACGACATCCTCGATGTTATTTTATCTGATCGCGAGGACAGGTCATTGCCGTTAATCGGTCATTATTCTGCTGCCGAGTATACCGAGGACGAAGACTTTTCATTTGATAGGGTCGTAAGCAAGAGCGCTTCTGTTAGTCGTAGACAGAGTATGGTTGGTAGTGGGAGGATGAACGGACGATTTAACTCTCAGTCACTTACGAGGTCATTGGGTCATATTGCTGCGCGTGGATGGATGAGCGGAGATGATGGAATACCATAAAGTCGGATTGGACTGTGGAATCTGATGGGCTTTATACGGTGTTGAGGCTGGAAAAGAAATGGACGTTCTATCGTAGTTTGGTGTATGATTATTGTGGCTTTGTATATGTATGACTACGGTAGCATACGCAATTTCTATATCATGGAAATATCTATTGTCAAATACGAGTTTGGAAGAACTTTTTTTTTTTTTCTTTTTTCTCTTTTCTTTTTTTTTTCTTTTCTTTTTTTTTTCTTGTTCTTTTTTCTTTGTTTTTTTTGTCTTTTGTTTCTGTATATAGCTTTCCCCCCAATCTTTCGCTTCAATGTGTTGTGGCGGCGTGCAGAGGGGTGTTAATATAAAAATTAGACGATATTGACAAGATATATAAAACCTTTTCCACCGCCGCCACTGTTCACATGTCGGTATATATTTTCTATACACATAAAACACTTTCCTTTTCTCGTGTATCATACGATTTTCGTATTTTTGTGTAGTTTGCCACCCTCCTCCAATTAGCGCGCAAGATACTCTTTTCATTTACCCAAATCATGTTGCCGAAATCAATTTATTTCTTGTTGTCAAAGTCAATTACTCTAAATACGTAGCTGTTATGAATGATGCGGGTCCCGTCTTTGAATATACAAAAGTCTACGTGAATTTTTATCGATTATCAATGTAAATGATTGTACGATCAACTTTGGAATTTTCCATACACATTACAATTCGGTTTTCTTTGGTGAGCCACCACACGATCCTTCACTAACTTCAGTTAAGGCGAGTGTCGTAATACTGTATCTCTGGCAGTATTGTACGGGTGGTCTAATTAATACTTTGACGATCTTATGGCCCATTCACATCTTACAAATATAATGGAGTTACGTCTTACGACGTGATCACTAGCTTGTAATACCACGATTAATATGTTTTACTCGAACTTTTGTCCAATGAGCGTAATAAAATCAATTGCGTAATATTAATATAGAAAAATAACACTTTAAGTTAGCCAATTAGTTATTGACAAATTTTCTCGAGGCAATGCGATAAATAATAACACCAACCCAAACAAAAGTACCCGTCGTGAAGAATAAAAACGGGGGCCATTGTTGTGTCCATCTAATACTAACCGTCTTTTAAAGTAAATTCTCTAATTGATGAAACACTAACTCGAGGTTTGGTTTGTGATCGCCAATGACACAGTAGTAGCAGTACTAAAGAAAACATTCGAAACGCGGGCTCTTGTATGAAGCAACGTTTGACGAAAAGACCTGTAACTGTTTCAAGTTTACGTTATCCTGATAAATCAAGTTTTTTTATAAAAAGGTCTGCGCCTTATGTATAACAAAGACATTGCTCTAAATCTGGCGTTAATAAAGACTTGTAGTGTAACTTTCACCAAAGACCATCGAGTCATCAATGCAAGTGCTCTTGTGGTTTTCAATTACCAAAAACCATGTAAATGGATTACGCTCTTGATGAATTTTTCAACTTAGAGAAGAGATTAACAATTGACATAATTGCACAAATTGATCTTTTCTAATGCAACGGATTTCATTTGTAAGCTGAAAAATTTTCTAGCAAACCCTTCGCCCAATTCCCATTCTCTAATTGAAGTTAGAGCTGGTGTAATAACAAGATCACATCGCATCCCGATTTAGATTGAATTGCCTATTATGAGACGGACTAAAGTTATTTATTATTATGCCAAACGGATAAAGCGTTTTGTGGTCTCTAAATAGCAAACTTGTAAGTATCTATAATGACCCAATCTTTGTCTACCACGTAGAATCTAGTATTCGTGATCGTTAGACCGTAATGTGGCACTTTAATGCACCATTGTCATTCAAACACGTGGTAAACGAATAATAATATATACGATACGAATTAAAAATTGCATGTTGATAATTCTATTCATCATGAAACTGTACAAACAACATCTCTATCATATATCGAGCCTTCTCTTACTGCCTCTGCTATTGGTTTTGTTGATTCATACGACTCGAGCAGATGTTATCACTGATCCGGAAATCTGTAATAGCAATGGAGAATGCTATCCGAAAATATTCAAAGCAACAGGGGAATATACAGAAGTACGACCTGACCAAGAGATCCCTCCTGGTAAATAGTACATTTGGGTTATATTCGTATACAAGCACATGTATCAATAGAAATTTCACATCATTCATCGTCTAGGTTTACTTACACGTATCGACATGGAAACTGGCAAGAAATATGCCAAACTAAACGACAATCCTCCAATTACTGACGTACAAGCTCTCGATATATCCGATGCTCAACTTGATTCCGAAAACGGTCCTGCCTCTTTATCTACAGGATTTAATTACAATAACTCATCCAGTCAGCCTATCACTGGATCTAAAATCACTTTCCACGGAAACCTTCCTCAAAATGACACTGATTACCATATACCAAATAAAAAAATATCACTATCCGAACATGAGCGATTTGATGATTACCTGAGAATTTTGAGGACTGATAATATCGACATGAAAGAATTGCTTGGAGCTTTAGAGGGATTGGAGGACTTGGTACATGAACTAGATTTTGGAATAAAATTTGCAAATGGAGAGGGTTTGGAGTTGATTGTCAAGTTGTTCGATCACAAAGAGAACAAGGTTAAGAAAATGGCGGCGATTGTAGTTGGCAGCGCAATGCAGGTACTCTTACGTGGTAAAAGGCTATACAGCGTGTTTGACATTTAAACTCACAATCTAACAATACCATCGTTCTTCCCTTTTCGCCATTTTCGATCTTTGCGAATCGCCCTGTCTGTAGAATAATCCCAAGGCTCAATCGCTTTCCCAAACACACAACCTGATACCAATTCTTCTGAAATTCCTATCTACTGAACGCAATGCACAGGTGGCATCTCGCTTTCTCTACGCTCTATCCAGCATAGTTCGTGGCAGCTCATCCGCAACCGAATCCCTCGCACGTCATCATGGCCTATCTGTTCTAATCGATACATATGTGTCCTCGACAAGTGACGACTATAGAGCTAAATGTGCCCTTTTCGTGACGGATCTGCTTGATCCGAATATGACGGCAGCAGATAAGATTGTGTATTTAGAGCAAGGAGACAGGATGAATGTTCTATCAGAGACTGGAGTTCTGAGCGATTGGTGCGATGTATTCCAGACCACTCTTTTTGAAGAGGGGTCCGGAAATGCTAGAGATATAAAATTCGATACACGGGAAAAAGTGCTGGGTGGATTGGTTATGATTAAGAAGAGATTTCCTGAATTATGCGAGGCTGCAGATGGTTTGAGGATATGGCTAAGCGGGCAGAAAACTGTTGCAAATGAAGAAGAATTGGACGACTATTATATCTTTATTGAAAAAGCCAAGAAGCTGTTTGACTTTAGTTAGTAGTACGTAGAAATTAAAAGTCACACAGTAACTTTTTCTGTAATTGGTAATTACAATAATTCAAATAGAGACGTGTTTATAAACTATAGAAATATGATATCACCGAGTTATTTACATATTTACAATGACAGTCAAGGGAACACTTGGAGAGTGTCGAGTGTTATCCCTTTTTTGTTTCATCCGTTCAAAGAGTTTTTACTGTTCAATTATTGCTAAAGGGTAAGATAAAAAAGAAATATAAAATAAACAAACTTTTTTATTATCTTTCCACAAGAAAAAGAAGAAAGCTTTCCAACGTAAGATTTTCTAAAAAAAAAAAAGAGTTCTAAAGTAGACGTTCATATTCTCCCCGTCAACCTGACTCTTTGTTGTTGTGTACGTCATTCTTCCAAACCTCATTAACTGACTTTAAAAATCTATTATTATCCGTTCCAACCTGACGGGAGTATTTTAACACTCTCTTAAAGATGTACATCTTATTATTAGTTTCCGCCCAGTTTTCGCATATCCTCAGAAATTCTGTTGCCAGACTTGGTGATCCAGCAGCGATGGCAGACTTGATAAAAATACCAAATGTTCTCTCGTTGGGCTCAATCTTTAGTTTTGCCAAATCATCCCATACTAGTTTTATTCCATCGATGTTGGACAACTCGCCATATACTTGGGCCAAATGATGGAACGTGACTAGAGTCGGCATGATCTGGAGATTCTGCATTTCTCGAACAGTTAGGTTCAAGTCATCTATTTTACCACACGAGCCAAACCCACTGATTAATGTATTGAACGTGACGGCAGTTGGTTTCATTCCCATGCCTCGAAGAGTCAAATACCAATCGCGAGCATTGTTAAGACTTTCTTCTGTGCCATTGATATCACCAATGGCATGTGCCGTGGTTGCTGATTTCATGTAACCAGCGATTATTATGTTCATTGTGACTACATCAACGGTGATGTTGTATTTTTCTATCATTTCTGATTGGAATAGGTTTAATGCTGCCGTTATATCATGACTGTCCATGTATCCTTTAATTAACAAGGTAAAAGTATATGTATTAGGAAATATATTATTATTGATCATTCGACGGTACACGTTCATAGCAGAGGCCATATCCTGATATTGTTGTATATATTCTCGAATGAGAGCATTGTATGCATGGGGTTCTGGTACGATCGTAGATGATTCCAAGTCATTAAGTAGCTCGGAAGTATCCTCAATTTTGCCGAGTGTCGCATATAAATTAATTAACTTGGCGTACGTCACGCTATCCAGTGTATGCTCTTTCATTGTCTCGTATTGCTCTTTCAATCTGCCAATATCATTAGTATATCGAGTGTATGCATCGATGATAGTACAACATGTTAAAGTATTGATGCTCAATTGATTATCCCGTTTCATTCCTTCCCATAGTGACTCCAAACGATTAAAATATTTCTCATCTTTCGCATAAGAGACCAGTAGAGAATTAAAGACGTCCACATCATATACAAGCCCTGATCTCCTGACATCGGTTAAAATTTTTTCTAGTTGCGTAATAAGTGTGTTAATCAAGTTGTCATCCTTACTAGCAGTTACGTGTGCTCTCAATAAGTTGGCCAAATCACGGTAGTCGATGTATGATAAACCACGTCGTTTCTCGGTGGTGTAAACTAGCCAGGACAAGTGTGCATCCTTACGAGAGATTGCTTCATGGAGAAGAACTGAATGAGATAAACGTGTTGGATCTTGTTCAGGAAGGGCAGTTGTTTTTATCTTGGGTCCATGCGAAGCGCGTTTGCGGTTTGCCAAAGTCGATGAAAATGATCTGACATGTATGAAAGGAATAGGAGAAAATTTAGACACGGAAGAGTATAATGCAGGAGAATTTTTTGGTGATGGTGGGCTTTTGATTGATATGCGACTGAGGTTTCTGGCTGAGTGTCCTGGAGCGCTAGTTGTGTAATTTAATAATTTAGCATTCTGAGATGCTCTTAATATCTGCTTGGCTACAATGACTCTATCAAGTAACATTGCCTCGTTCGAAACGTGTCTGCCCGTGAAAAGATTTGCAATGTATATCTTTAGTCAGGAAACATTTATTACATTGATCTTTTTGTATCTACCACACACATCCTTGCCGGTAAAGGTCGATTATTTTTTGCTGTGAAAAGATTTGAATGTCCAATCAACTGACCAACAAAACGTGACCTATCCCCGATTTGGTAATGGGGGAAGTTCATTGAACATAACGATAAGAGGTGCAATAGGCTAAGCGCTAATTACATCGCGCATGAGCTTTTGTAACTTTTTTTTTTTCCCATATGCCGCCCAAATATCAGCATGTGAGAAATTGAAATTTCTTGTGTCTCTTACGTTAAAACGGACGCGAGAGACACTTTGTGTAACTTTAGAAGGGCGTCCATTTCCTTCCTATGCTCAATGGTTTTTTACGACAGTACGAAGAGGAGTATCGCTTTGGGGATTGGGCGCCGCTAGGCCAATAATGGAGAATTTGTTTGTCGCTATGCCTGTTGACCACGACGGTAAAAAGTGCGTTCTGAAATTTATATCTTTAAAACGCGTTCAACGAAATGGTAACTAATTGAAAATAAAGATGAGTTTACGATAAACAACGCATTGCTTTGTTTATTTGCAAAATAATTTCGATTATCCGAAGGCAATTCTTTTCGCTCCTCACTGTAGCTAACTCTTCTAATTATTATTATATTAATTTAGCACATCGATGACAAGGAAATTTATTGCCATTTTTTTAGCACGTTGACAACATAGACGAGTATCTCGTTGCTTTATAAATTCCGGCACACGTAAGTAACTTTTAACAAAGCCACTCTAGAACGTAGTAAGAGAGACTCTTTGCCAAAATTTTCCGTCCCTAACTTGATCTGTCGTGTACTTATACAACACGGCTTTGTCCACACCACCAGCGACGTGTGGAAAAACCTCTCAAACTACAGTAAAGTGTAGCTATCGAGCTTTTTACAAGCTGTTGGCCAATGACTACCATCTTACTTCTCAAAGCTCCTAATTTAAGATCAAATACAAAATTTTTCACTTGTTTTGTTCCGTCAAAAAGTCCGGGTTTTGACTATGTGGAAATCAACTGTCCCCGAATACGATTTAACTAGATAAACTCATTCTTATCTTGCATATTTTTCAACACCAATACATATCAATATATACAATTAGAAGATCTACTCAAAGGTAGTAGGAAATGAAAGAGATAGAGTGGGTTTGTAATCGATATAATAGTTGGAGAGATCACAACCAAAGTACTGTACGTTATAATTATATTAACATCGTTCATGTTAGTTGAAGCGAAAATGAATTTATCGTTATTGTTACTATTATTATTATTATTATTGAATCCTGAAATGGGTTGGCCCATTTCAATTTTTGCGATGTGATAATCTATAATCATTTCCGATTATCACACACTGGGTACACCAGCGATGATGCTTCTTTTAAT